AAGGGAAAATGAAAAGTAACTTGGACTCATAAGTCGTATGACATAAATATGTGATTTATGTGAATGTATCAGTGTTGGCCATCTATGAATTGCTAATCTTTTAGTCATTGTTCATGGTTGGTTTAGTATATTTCTGCTGGGCTGTGGCTCACCCTTTATGGGAACATCATTTTCAGGTTCAGGTGATAAGCTACCTCCAAGGACTTAGCTTGGAAGGACTTGGATTTTGAAGACTGTTTTTAGTTATTTGTTTTTCGTTGTTAGTACATGTAAACACTCAAGCCTAGGGCTTTATTTATATTTGAGTTAGAACTCATACTTTGTGTCCAAGTGTTGGCTTGGAAAGATGTAAGCCGGTAGGGAATTTACTTTGATGTTACATGTAATGCTTTTGTTTAGTAAGACTCTGATGGATATTATAATGAATTATTAAAGTGTTTTCTTTAAATAATGCATGTCAATGATATATATAATGGGTATAGTTTTGAGGGCGTTACACTATATCCACATTCTCAACAGATATGTATAACAACAATATCCCACATTCACAGATAAGCATATAAGCTATATCCACACTTCACAAAGATAAGCATAAGAGCTCTATCTTCACTTCTCTAGACAAGCATATGAGCTGTATCTACGGCGTTCATCCCCTATCTTCTCCCAATACTATCCGGTTTAGAGGTACATCCCCTATCTTCCCCTAAACCGCGGAGTACATCCCCCATCTCCTCATCTACACATAACGTATACAAACACATTGGTTCTATATACAATCACTCAATACATACAGTTAATGTATTCTATCAACCGTCAAATTCCATGACACATTCCATTGATTAGTTTCCGTTTGCCTAATCATCATGCATTGTCTACAACAATCACGACTATCCTCCACCGATAGCCCAAAGCAATTATTTCTAAACAGAAAATAAATGCACAAATGGATATTCAATCAACATTTCAATTCAGTGAGTGATAAATAATTCAACTACACCCTTTTTCCCCATACATTCCCAATCTCAACAATTCCATTTCGTTTCCTCATTTTCCACAATTAATTATCTCAATTAATCAACAATGTAATTAGGTCATTTTCCATAATTACCATTTCAACCCTTAGGTCCCACTCAATTAATCAACAATGTAATTAGGTCATTTTCCATAATTACCATTTCAACCCTTAGGTCCCATTTTCATCAATGATTTAACATTTATTTCCATTTCTCTATACCAAACATGCATCTAGGTTTATTATAAATAAAACCCCAACCTTTGTAAAATAACACAAAAGCCCCAAACTTTCACAAAATTACCAAACCAACCCCAACATCTCAAAATACTAAAATTTAAAGACAAAATCCATAGAGAGGAGTAGGATATCCCTACCTCAAATTCGGAGCTCCAAGGGAGAAGAAGACAAAACCCAACGTGCTCCAAAACCCGAAATTTTCAGATTAAAAAGAAGCCCTCGACGATCAACAACCTTCTTGTAAAGGCCAAAGATGAGCAAATCACTCCTACTAGATCAAAACCTAGAGAGAAGGTAGAGTCTAGAGTGAGAGGCTCAACAATGGTGTTTTTGGAAAAGTAGGAGAGAGAAGAGAAAGTGAAAAAGTGATTTAAAAAGTCACAATTTCGGGACTTAAACCTAGTCGCCCGCTCGAGCGTAAAACACCCCGCTCGAGCGGCCACTCACACAGATTCGCTCGAGCGGCCAACTCCACGCTCGAGCGTACAACACTGCACAACAAATACTGGATGGGTGTATTCCCCGCTCGAGCGCAAGAAGACCCGCTCGAGCGGACAGGCCAAAATCTGGGCAACTAGTTTTGGTTTCTAAACTCAACCAACCTATAACAAACCTGCCCAACACATCCTATAACTCAAATACAAAGTAAGAAAGGATGTAAACAAGATAATAATCAACTACTAACATCCACGGACACATGTCCGGATCACTGTTCAACAAGGGTAAACCCGGGATCGCTATAGGAGACGTGGGTAAGGAGGAGTTAATCGAAAGGGAGAAGATTTCAGAGAAGTGAATGAAGATTTGGAATTGAAGATCACAAGTCGTTGTTCAGAAAAATATGTTTAGAAATTGTTGAGTAATTGAGGATCGAGGTTGTTAATTTTTTTTTCAAATTAATCGAAAGGGAGAAGATTTCAGAGAGAAGTGAATGAAGATTTGGAATTGAAGATCGCAAGTCGTTGTTCAGAAAAAATATGTTTAGAAATTGTTGAGTTTAAAATTTGAATTTCTGATTCTAAAGGGTGAGAAGAACAGTTGTGATAGAGATTGCCATACCTGAGCGGTTGAAGCAGAGGTAGACGGAACCGAATCTGTGGTTGAAGGAGATCAATTCAAAGTAAAGTCAGGTAAAGCAATTTCGGGAAGAAGAAGAACAGGGAGCGAGAGAGAGACATAAAGAGGGATGGAGGGGAGACGTGGGTAAATAGAGGGATGGAGGAGAGACGTGATTTGGCTAGAGAGTAGAGACGTGATTTGGCTGGAGAGCAGAGAAGGGTGGGGGAGACGTGGGTAAGAAGGAGGCTTAATGTTTGGGCGAGAAGATATATATTTAGGATTGATATAAAATTAAGGGGGTTATCTGAGCCATCCATGTGAATATATAAATGAATCATGACCCTTGAAATATCCTAGTAGGACAATTGTGTCTAACATATTTTCAAAATCCGTTCTGCTTTATTATATAGAATAATCCTACATATTGGGAATCATCCGTTCTGCTTTAAGAGACACGGGTACTAAACCCGTGATCCGATTGTCCCTAACGCTGAAATTCTGCAACTATATAATAAGGGAGAAAGGTTTTTGAATTTATCCTAGAGACAATTGTCCTACTAGGACATTTTAACGGTCATGATTCAATTGTGTATTTAGATAGACGGATTAGATGAGCCCCTTTAAATATATATCAATTTACTTCCCGCCCAAACACTAAACTTCCTACTCACCCACGTCTCATCTCCATTCTATCTTTAAGATCACTCTGTTATTCAATCTTTATCTCCTCCCTTCTTTGTTCTCACCCAAACATGGGAAGAACTATGAGATATTTATCTGGAACCAAAAATTATGGTTTGCTTTATAACAAGTATCTTGCGGTACTTGAGGGATATAGTGATGATGATTGGAACACTTTGTCAGGTGATTCTCTCTCTACCTCGGGTTTTATTTTTACCTTGGGTGGTGGTGCTATATGTTGGAAGTCTAAAAAACATACTATAATTGCTAATTCTACAATGGAAGCTGAGCTTATAGCGTTAGCTTCAGCATGTGAGGAAGCGAATTGGTTGAGAGATTTATTACATGAAATTCCTTTTGGGGAAAAACCAATTCCTCTTGTGTTAATTCATTATGATAGCACTGCTGCTATTGGTAGAGTGAACAATCATTTTTATAATGGTAAATCCAAACCTATTCGAAGGAAACACAGTAATGTGAGATCTTATTTGAGTAATGGCATCATAACTGTGAATTATGTAAGATCTTGTGATAATCTTGCGGATCCGTTAACCAAGGCCTTGGTGAGAGATAGGGTCTGGAATACATCGAGGGGGATGGGTTTGAAGCCTATAAAATCATAAACCATGTATGAGGATACCCAACCTAGGGACCAGAGATCCTGTAACTAGGTTCAATGGAAAGAACGAATCATATGGTGGTTGTAAAAAATGCACTCTTTAATATTTTGTCCATCCCTATGATGTAAGTGCATTTGTCCTGTAATGTTGGAGGGTTGAGTTTTTATACTCTTAATGAAATTCTGTAGCTCTTGTTGAGTGGGGTGTGTAAATTACAGGAACATCCTTGACAGATTTCACCTATGTGAGCATGAAAGTGGGGCCGCTTTCTATGAGAACAAGGCTTATTCTCAAATATGCTCATGAAAACTGGGATTAGCACAAGGTCGTAATGTGCTGGCTAGTAAAGCTCATGTCAACACCTAGACTATTATGCATGAGCAGTAATACTTTATTTCCCCTAAGCAGTCATAGTTCAAGTCTGAGACCACTACGGCTGTAAATGATGAGATAGACTCACTACTTTCAAATAAAACATGGAAGCTAGTGAATTTACCTCCAGGTTGTAAAACTATTGGGTAGCAAGTATTAGTCTCTGCAACGAAGTAATTGATGAAAAATTGGGAGAAATCATACCACTAAGACCCATTTTCTGAAAATTGACAATAGTAATGTCTCCATTAGAACAAGTGAGACCCATCCATTGGACACAAGGATCATTCCCTTTCCAACTATCCGCAAACACCGTTGGATAACCAACAGATTGTGCAATCGTAAACAATGTATTAACCTGGGAATCGCAACCAACACGAGGATCAGATAAGTAGAAACTATTAGTCCCAATTGTCATATCAACTGCAACCAAAGAATGAAATTTTGGGGTCGGGCCTTGTAACAGATTGTTTGTCAAATTCACAACTTTAAGCGATGGAAGGTTCACAAGAGACACGGGTACTAAACTCGTGATCCGATTGTCCCTAACACTGAAATTCTGCAACCCAGTTAGCTCTGAAAGTTTCGGTAAAGGACTTGAAAAAGAATTGGAATGTAACCGCACTTGGTTCAATTGGGTCATGTTTTGTATCACCCTAATTGAGCCATTGAGCTTAGAACTAATACCCCGTTGCCCATTCAACCGCAGAGACTGAATCGACGAACCCGAAAAGCTTCCCGGTAATCCACCCTCGAGATTGTTGAATTCCAAATGCAAGGAACCCAGATTCACAAACCCGCCAAAGAATTCAGGAATGTTTCCGATTATATTGGCCGCACTGGTAGAGAAAACCTGGAGAGCTGAGGCGTTTTGGAGACTTTCCGGGATTCGCCACGGCGAATAGGGGTTGTAATCAAGATAAACACCTTGAAGAGATGTCATTTCGAGAAAGAAGTCGGAGGGAATGGAAGAGAAATTGTTGTTGTTGAGGAACAAGAACTGGAGAGAACTCAACCCGGACAAACTCGGAACCGGACCAGTGAGTTGGTTAGACATGAACTCGAGTCTCTGCAAGAAAGTGAGTTTGGCGAGACTCGGAGGAAAAGAGCCTTTCAGCTTCTGATGCCCAATTTGGATTCGGGTGACTCGATTGTCGCTGGAGCAACCCACGTTCTGCCATTTGCAGAGGTCTGAGTCGGTCCAGCCGACTGAACTCGGAGGGTTGATGCTCTGCTTGAGAGCCTGCATTACTGAAGCGTCGTCACTCTGACAGTGAACAAAGACAAAAGAGGAGAGGAGAGAGAGGAATATGAGGGATAAAACCCTAGAATCAAGATGGGGTGTTGTGTCCATATTCTCGAGAAAATCGGAGAGAAAGAGGAAGAAAACCATGAGAGACAGTGGTGGTGATGGGGGAGTTGATCTTGTTTAGAAGTAGCAGGGAATGACATTTTATAAGTAGCAAAGAAAACCATAAAGAGTAATGTTGGAGATATAAATAGAAGAATCTTATATGTATTAATTAGTATATTATAGATGATGTAAGATAATTTTAGAGATTTTAAATATTTATAATTTGTATAATAGGTAGAGTCAGTAATAATGACATAATATTAATTGATATATTAATGTGTATATTAATAGGTAGAGTCAGTAAGAAAACCATGAGACACAATGGAAGCCTATTTTCTTTATTCACATAATCTATGAGCTCTACCCATTGTATAAACTCTGAAAATGATAAAGCATGATGCCCAGATTGCATGGGGCAATTTCCCAAACCTGTGAAATGGTGTTACATCTCAAGAGGCAATGCACTACCTTTTTCAACTTCTCACTACAGACGCCATAAACATCAGAACTAAGAATTATCAAGCCCGACCTTACCATAAAGCTAGCCATGTCCAAGCTTCAGGCCTTAAAATTTGAGAAAGACCATTTTTATAATATAATGTAATAAGCCCATGTGATTTATTATTTACTCTTTGAATAAAAAGGCTCAAAACAAACAAAAGGACCCAAACTTTATTTTACATTAAAAATTAAAAAAAAAATTAAAAAAATGCAATCTTACAGTTCTTTTTTTTTAGATGGGAAAGTTGAGTTCTCTCTCTCTCTATATATATATATACTGGCGTATACCCGTATCTGAAGATACGGTGTAAATAATATTAAGATTAGAATATAATTGTAATCCCAATACTATTTAAATTTATTTACACCGTGCCATGCGACTCTTCCCAATATGTTCACGACTACAACATATACATTTCATTTGAATGGTTGGAATGATTCCCAATATGTAGGATTAAGAGATACATTTCATTTGAATGGTTGGGATGATTCCTAATCAATATCTAATAGTTAGCATGTAGTCCATATTCTCCTCTACTTCCCAATATGCTCTCTTCGCTATTAGGAGGATCCTGAAGGCATAGTTAGCATGTAGTCCATATTCTAGCGTATGCCCGTGCCTGAAGGCACAGTATAAATAATATTAGGATTATAATATAATTGTAATTGCAACACAATTTAAATTCAAGATTAAAATGCAATTATAAAAATATATTTAATAGACTACACTCTACAATTCTAAACAAATCAAATATAAAAAAATATTAAATATCAAATAGTGCACACCAGCCAGTACTTTGCAATTTAAAAGAAATTAAAATTAAAATGCACACTAGTTAGTGTTACTGCTGCCAATCAAATTCTAACTACATAAGAAAAATAAACATTATATATTGTCATACGCCAAAAGAGTGAGTTAAAACTTTATAAAAAAAAGTGGGTCGAAACTTTCCAGAATATGTATGCTTTACAGAAGATGTGTCAATAACATGTCTTCAAACATGTGTTTGCCCAAACTTCCTCATCATTACTTTCGAAAAAGTCTTGGTATCAACTTGTATGTATCCCCAATGAGAAACATGCACAACAATCTGGTAATTTATGGAAACAAAAAAAATATATATATAGATTGGTATATTTGTTGAAAATATACATATCAAAATACTTTGTGATTGAAATTACCTTATTGCATCCCCATCGAAGCAAGCTAGTTGTATTTCTCCTTTTAAGCTCCATAAATTTTTCGATCCAATCCTAAAAAAATCCATATTTCCAATTATTATTAGATGTAAATTTTATAAAAAAAAAATCTATATATATAATCAATAGAAATAAATCTATATGGTTACCTTTTGATAAAACATGATTTAATGAACATTGAACACTACAACAACACTTCAAGATTATAGCGATCACGGGTTTACCCTTGTTGAACAGTGATCCGGACATGTGTCCGTGGATGTTGGTAGTTGATTATTATCTTGTTTGCATCCTTTTTACTTTGAATTTGAGTTATAGGATGTGTTGGGCAGGTTTGTTACAGGATAGTTGAGTTTTGAAACCAAAACTAGTTGCCCAGATTTTTACCTGTCCGCTCGAGCGGGGGTTTTGGCACTCGAGTGGGAATTGCACCCATCCAGTATTTTCCTGTGCAGTGTTGGACGCTCGAGCGTGGAGTTGACCGCTCGAGCGGGGTTGTGTGAGTGCCGCTCGAGCGGGGAGTTGGAAGCTCGAGCGGGGACCTGGTTCTGTAAAAGTTCTGGGAGTGTGTATCCTCCGCTCGAGCGGGATTGTTGGCGCTCCTGTGAGTGACGCTCGAGCGGGGAGTTGGACGCTCGAGCGGGGCGATTGGGTTTAAGTTCTGTGTTTTGACTTTTCAAATCACATTTTCACTTTCTCTTCTCTCTCCTACTTTTCCAAAAATACCATTGTTGAGTCTCTCACTCTAGAACTCAACCTTCTCTCTAGGTTTTGATCTAGTAAGAGTGATTTGCTCATCTTTGGCCTTTACAAAAAAGTTGTTGATCGTCGAGGGCTACCTTTTAATCTGAAAATTTCGGGGGATCCAATGAATTTAAATATTCATTAGGATATCTATTTGTAATGGTAGGATCAATTTCATTATCTTCAGACATTTTATCTGCTGCAAAATAAGTATATAATCTCCCTGGAAAGATATTCAACGCAGTAGTATTAATGTCACTGACATCATCGTTACGCGCAGACAGAATGGTGCGTTCAGTTAAAAATGTTGGGGTCGGTGTCTCTATCATATTCAACTGTGGGTAAACTGTAGAAAGCAATTCACTCAAATCTTGACATTTGTGTATTGTTGATGGAAGGTTGATGATTTCTTGAGGATTAGTCCCAATCTAAAAAAAGTGAAATCAATTAAAAAAAATATGAGTGTAAACACAATTTATTAATTTAAAATAATCTATATAATGAAGAAAAAGGTTAAAGTAGTGTTACCTTCATCAAGAATTTGGCAAAAATAGCATTTTCATGGTCTTCATGATTCAAGCGCATATTCAAATCCAAAGTTAAGATATGTATATGCTTCCATAGAACAAAGTGTCTTAATGATGCATTCACAATTTGCTCACGAAATCCTTTAGGTATAACTAGTAAGATTTGTCGAAAGTCTCCACCAAGAACAACAGTAATACCCCCAAATGGCTTTTCACTATCACGAATATCCCTCAATGTACGATCAACCGCCTCAACACAATGTCTATGTTGCATAGGAACTTCATCCCAAATTATGAGTTTTGTTTCTCTAAACAACTCAGCTTGTAATGATTGTTTTAGCATTTTCATGGTCTCCATGATTCAAGCGCATATTCAAGTCCAAAGTTAAGATATGTATATGCTTATATAAAACAAAGTGTCTTAATAATGTATTCACAATTTGCTCACGAACTCCTTTGGGTATAACTGGTAAGATTTTTCAAAAGTCTCCACCAAGAACAACAGTAATTACCCCAAATGGCTTTTAACTAGCACAAATATCCCTCAATGTACAATCAACCGCCTTAACACAATGTCTATGTTGCATAGGAACTTCATCCCAACTTATGAGTTTTGTTTCTCTGAACAACTCAGCTTGTAATGATTATTTGTTAGACCCACAAAGTGAATTTTCCAAGGCATCTAATAGAAAGGAAAATGTTGAACGTGCTGTGCGACCTCCTACCAATAATAATGATGCAATTGATGCAATTCTAGATGAAGCCACAGTAACAACAATATGCCTAAGGCTGTGACATTTTAATGCAATCATATTGTATAGAAATGTTTTCCTGTTCCAACACCCCCATTCAGAAAGAAAACAATTCATTTATTTTGAACAACAGAAGAAGTGATTGTGTTATAAGCATCCGCCATCCATTGTTGAGACAATCAATAGTAATTTGTGGATCTGCATGTTGTGCCTCATTTTGTAATTGTTGATGTTCAAATATCAATTGATTACCAACTATTGCACTCCAATTTGCAATAGGTTGTGGCATGGGTGAGAAGTCAATTAAACTTTTGCCTAATTCATGAAGCATTTGATTCAAAAGATGGAGACCATAATCTTCAATTTGATCCTCAGTTGGGTTAGAAATGGCAAACAATGTATGAATCTTATATACAAGATCATCATATATATGCATTGAGAATTGATTCCATAATGCACATGGATTTAGTGGAGAGCACTAGGTAAGAATAATACTAAACAATCTCCTCAATTGGTATCCAGTTTTCATAACTACAGTCTCTTTTAAGCATTGTATCCATTCTTCATTATCTTCTAAAAGCCCCCTTGCAACACATGCTAATTTAAATGTATCATGCACAACATTATCAACAGTTAGTAAAAAATGTAGATAAAATCTTTCACCATAATTAGGGCTAGCAAAGTACATTCTACCAATTGCATATCCCCTTTCTCTTGATTTCCATCTCTTTTACGACTTGAGGCAAACAAAATATTGTGAAAATTCTTGATAAGTGAATGGACATTCATCTTCACTGGAAACAAAATATGAAAAGAAGCCAGTAAGAGTTGACATATGTTGACCAGTTTTAGATTGAATCGTTTCTAATGACTTTTTTGGGTTAAAAACAACACGATGCATTCCAAGTGAATGAAGTGCCAATCGTACAACTATTGGCATCTCTATATGCAAAAGGATGACCAAATATTCGCTAGCCAGCTTCTAGAGGTCCAATATATCTTGCATCGAGATATTGTTGAATCTCATTTATCAATCCCAATGCCATCGTTGTACGATTATAGCCTTTGTAAATGTACTTATGTATATACTTGACACATCTCATTTCGGTACAAACTTCCACATTTATATGACAGTTGAAAAGTTTAAAAAGATATGCATTGTATGGTATGACATCCCTGTTATTAACTTCTTGCCTCCTCATAGTATTTACTTGACTGTTATTGCGACGACGATAGATAGGGTATCTATCTTGATTCATAGTTGTTCTTTCTGTGAAAGCTTGAGGGTATCTTTTAGTGCATCTACCATTTTTCATACATGGTGCTTGCGAATTTTGAGCACCACATGGTTTATGTACCATACAACATTTGATAGTTTCAAAAAGCATAGGATCATCTTTTGGGTCTGGAAATTCTGCATAGACCAATTTGTTTGCTTGAGCACATGTCTGAATTTTATCTAGACGCTTAAGAAATAAAAGTGCATGCATATGAGGGAGGCATCGTTTTTGAAATTCAATGGTAAAAATATGCAACTTTATTTCCAAACACTTTATTTGTTTCTATCTCCTTCATCAAACACTTTCTCTTCAACTCAAAAACACGGGCAATTAAATCAGGATGATCGATAGGTTTTTGATGTGGTAATAATGTTGAAGTAATTTCTGGCCAATTGAGATTTGCAGTCATGGTAAGAAAAATATCTGCGTGTCGGTTGTATCGCGTGATAGCCATTGAATCTTGAAAGAGTTTAAACATATGTCTAGAACTACTAGTAAATGAATATGGCAAAATAAACCTTTGACCAATTTGACCAAGTCGCATATAATCTGGATCAATATCTGACAATTCTTGGTAAAACTCAACCCGAAGTGTCCCTTGATTAAACTTGTAGTGTGTCAATTGATTTTGCTCAGTTGTGGCCCAAGCATCTACCAAAAACTCCTAAAATAGTTTCCCACCTCTCAAAATTGTTCAATACTCTGTGGGTCGTTCAAACAAACGATAACTATGAAAATCCATTTGAGTAAGTCGATCAGTTAAAGGTTGATCATACTGAACGTTCCACAATTTCAACTTAGGTTCCCATCCAAGCTCACCATATGGAAATAATAGAACATAATGTAATGGAAAATATGTTGGGTGACATTCATTAATTTGTATCAACTCATTATTTCCTTGGAAATGTAAGATAATATCTCTCATTCTATTTACCTCTGTTCCATCACCTGGTATTACAATCGCAATCTCATCTGCAGTTGGTAGGTTATACCGACATCGATCAATTGTTGAATTGTAATGAAGATGAATAGGTATATTGTGTCCTGTCGAGTCTAATTAATGCAAAATGGCATGAGCCTGGCGAAATGTAGATACAAATGCATTGATTTGCAACAAACTATCCTGAATAGTTTTGAGAACATCCCTTCTCAAGTTAAGATTTCTACGATTACGAATTTCTAACGCTGAATTAGGGTCATAGATATACAGTTGAGCATAACTCGCATCATGCCCTGGTTGTGGTTGTAGTGATCCGTTCGATGTCGCAATTCCCCATGAATTGTGAATGATGTAGGGCCCTTTCCACTGAGTACTCTAGGATCTAATGTAGCAGCAAGACTCGTAAAAGCATTGGCTGCATTGTACACTCGAGTATAACTTCAAAAGGATTTTGATTGATCATTATTCCCATCATGCAATGCCTGAAGTGGTGGAGGGGGTGTAATAAGTAAAGGTAGCCTAATCTTTCCTTTCAAACAGCAAGTTCCGAATAAGGGACGCTTCATAGATGATTTTGTCAATTTTTCATCCATCCAATGTGAGGCTGAACAATAAGGACATAATACATCTATCTTGCCAAGATAATGGCGGCAAAAATCTTTGTGTGCTCAGGCGTCAATTGATGTACTCATAGGCATATCTTCTAATTCATCCTCAGAACATAGATCTTCTTGAAGAAATTGATTTATAGGAGTAGACCTACGAATATTTGTGTATAAATAAAATTCTATAAAACAAAATGGTATGAGTAAGAGTATGTATTTCAAGATTAGACATAGTAGTTTACGATTTTTTTGTAGAGCTAAAGATGTGCTTGGCATAGAAAACGAACATGTAGAATGATGGGTAACCATTGTTCGTTTTTGAGCCGAATGAGAATCTTCAGTTATTGTTTCCCATTCCAAGTAAGCATGATTGTGACAAATCGGTGTTAAAGAAGGTTGTGTTGGTTGAATACATTCTTTTGATCCCTTTTGTTCTCGTTGCAAGAAATGAAATTCAAAGTATGACTTTTTGTTTTTTTTCAAGCTCTCGCCGTGCATGTTGGGCTGATGGATCTTTTGATATTACATTATCATTTTGTGCTTAAAATGAAAAATCTTTTGTCATTGGTGCAAAATATGTGAATATTTTGTGCTTAAAATGAAATATTTTCTTGTTTCTTTCATTTCTCTTAATTTGTTTTCTATTTTATTTGTTTTATACCTTTAATAGTGTTATCTTTATTTCTTTCTTTCTTTCTTTATGCATTTTGTTTTCTATTAAAAAAATAAATAAGAATTAAAAACTTATCTTATTTAGATTAATAAAATACATACAATGTTTGACTTGATTTTGTACTTACTGCACAAGCACGAATAACATTAAGATCGTACTCATCACGGATGGCCACACAAATATTTCTAGATGAGGTTGTAGGAGTAGGCCTATAGAAATGGATTGTGAACAAATTAAAATCTATATAATAAAGTGGTAATAGTAAGAGTATATTTCAAGCAGTAAACACAGTTATTCACCAATTTGGTGTTAAAGAAGGTTGTCTTGGCTTAATACATTCGTTTGATCTCTTGTTCTCGTCATTGGTGTTGTCCTAATTGGTATGCAGAACATGGGTTTTGATTTTTTTCACGTTCCCGCGGTGCACGTTGAGCCAATGCAGTTTTTGATAACACATTATCATTGGGTGCCTAAAATGAGAATATTATATAATTAGGTGCATAAAATGTGAAGATTATCCCCTCTCTTGCTTCCTTTTCATCATGTATTTGTTCTTCCTTTTAACTAACTTTTCTTCTTCGCTCGGTTGAGTTGTTAGTCACATAAGAACCAATGCATGTATTGATGAAATTCAAAAAGGGAGAAAAAAAAAATTTGAAAACACATTAAGCACAGAAAACTACAAACTCACTATGCACTTATTGCTTTAAAGACACTACCCATCTCTTTACAAAATATATGTTGAAAAGGTAAATATTAGATCATTGGGTACGTAAAATGTGAATATTAGCATGTAATGTTTTATACATTCCTCTTCCCTTTTCTTTTTCTTTTCGTTCTATTAAATTTGATTGTTGTCTTTTTCTTCTTTCCTTATATAGCGATTCCTATTTTAACCCGACCCTTTTGTATCATGGACTTGGGTTTTGTGGTTTCGTAGTGTTGTTCATGTCTTTTTCCGCTTATACTTCCTTGAGTTTGGCTATTGGATTGTAATGGTTGCGTTTGGAACAGGTTAGTTGCTTGGTTTTCAAACTTTTGTTGCCCATAATTTTACTCCTCCACTTGAGCGACACTTTTTGTGCTTGAGCGGGCTTTGTGAACTCTC